AACAGTATAGATAGAAAACTGTTCAATTCAGATTTTGAAAATATTGATGCGATAGGCTATTAGCAACAGAGGCAAATTTCCCACTGACCTTTATGAAACAGAGTTTCTCCTACTGTGTGTGTAAATGTCATTATTAATCCTCTGAGAGAGAGAAAAGAAAGGAACACATTTCTCCTTATTTTAATATGCAAAGTTTATTGTACCTTCAAAAAAATGTAACAGCTTTCACTAGTTGTTGACTGGTCTCTTAAGAAAATATACTTAATGATCTCTGTATTGATTACTTGAAGATTTTAAACTAGAAGGATTAGTCAAAAGTGCCAAGACTTCAGTATAGAGTAAGGAATTATTTATAGACCATGGCGTGCCAGATTGTAGATGTAATGTCATTTAAAATCATTTGTACTTTAACTTTCTCAGTCAGGCTCACAAACTCTCCCATGAGAACCACCTTCTGCTTACAGAAATACTGTCAGTAGGGAAAGAGAAGGGTATGGAGAGAATGCTGTAGGAACAAATAAAGCCTCTTCCCCATTATCTCTAAACAGAGACGCCACATACAAGGAAAGCTGGGTAATAAATTAATAATGGTGTCTGGATATTCTAGGACAGAAACATGAACAATGAACATACTAAAAGATTATACCGAAAATAAAGCACCTTTGTGTAAAAATATAGTTAGATAATGCAAAAGCATTCAGTAAATCAGTAAGAAATGGACACCATGCTACACATGTTTGCAAATACTGGAACCATTCTAATCTGTGGTTGGATTCAAAAATTTTTACTACCAGTTCTGTGGGTGTGGCTTGGTGGGCGTAGCAGGGGGAAGGATACTGTAAAATATCCAGTCAGAGGTGGGATTTGCTGGTTCTCCAAACTACTCAAAATTTCTGCTACCGGTTCTCCAGAACTGGTCAGAACCTGCTGAATATCACCTCTGATTCTAATGCTGGTATCGGATCCAATTATCACTGCTGAACAATTGTTTTCTTTGCATGTTGGCCTACTCTACCCATGTGAGCGGAATGATTCCACAACAGGCCAGGATACTGGCTTCGCTGTTCAGGGCAACCTGTGGAGGGATACTAACAAAGGACTCGGCATTTCTACCTCCCTTATCCCTATCTTGGAGCTTTTAAAGCCCCCACCCGACTCCCGCTGTAAAGCTTGATGGAGAGAGACTCAGGAGTGTCACAATTGTAAGCATACATGGGGCTAGAAGGAAGATTGACATTTTTACCTCCCCAGGTGAGAGATGGAAAATGGATTGAGAGAGGAGATTCAGGTGAGGATAGGAGGATGGCTAGCTGCCAACTAATATTTCTAGATTAATTGTCAGGAATCCCCTGTTGCCTCTGTGAAATGAAGCTCTGTTTAGCCTTGTACGTATTTATTTCTGTTTTAGGTTTTATTTTATTTCTATTGTTTAATATTATTTATTTATATTGTTTAATATTATTTGATAAATATATTAACTTGCTGGTATTAATTCGACTTATAATTTTTCCTTTTCAATTATTCAGTTTATTGCTGTTCTTCTGATGTTTTGAGACATTTTGGGCAGTATCTGGTAGGAGTTTTTTTTTCAATTGAACTATTGAGCAGTTTATATTTTAAATGAATATTAATAGTATTATGTCATGAATACTTTTATTTAATTGTTAATTGGATCCAGATATATACAAATAAAAGGAAGTCTTGTAGTTGTGCAGTTCTGGGAGTTTTTGTTTACGAGTCACTGTGTGATACTGTACAGGTAGTGGTGGATTAATTAGGATAAACATTCTGGGGTGAAATTTTGGGCAAACCTAAACTCATGAACAGTTGTACCACTTATATGAGGGGAAAAAAAAACAGATTTGGATTTGCATTATTGTGGACTATCTACATTCCCTTAGTTATATGTTGTATGGATCCAGATAAAGTTCACACAGAACTTAAGGGGAAAGTTTTGGGTCTTGATGCTCAACCAGATAGAACAGGGGTGTCAAACTCACAGGCCAGATGTGTCACATGCTGGCCATGCCCACACCCACCCCTCCAGTTTAGCGAAAGGGAAAAAGGTCCTGATACGTGATGACGTGGCGACATGACTTTGACATCCCTGAGATAGATAATTCCACATTGAAAGGTACATTAGTGTGATTTCATGCTTTGCTCCTTCCTCACTAGAGGAATATACAGTATTGCAATATTCCTTTTATAGGATCATCCTTGTGTATATTCAAACACCTAGGTCAAGTCTCTGGCAAGTGTTAGATTGTTCCTTATAGTATATCACACCTGGTATTGTGATCTCAAATCATCCACTTATTAGCAAGCTTTCTTACAGTAATTACATATCAGCTGCTGCAGGATCACCACACTGAAACTTCTAAGAGGCCTCAAAGTTCTTAGCTGCAGCTCTGATAATTAGAAACTGATGAGGTCCTTCTATAACCCGCTAAGTGGATGTAAATAAAAGGATCCCAGCTGCTGCAGTGATAATCAAATTGAGAATTTATACAATTTGTTCTTTGTCTAAAATCAGGGCATACAATTATTGGTGCAAAAACAATACCCCAAACTCTGACTGTTAGAACAGAAAAAAAATCTCAATAACTGACTTCTTGGATTATATAATTCATAAATTATATCACAAATTATGGTTTCCTTGTTTCTTTTCAATTGCCTCTGGAGCACAAAGAATCCTGGACATTTGAAGCTCAGAGAAATAGAGTCATCCTTAGTAAGGTTGGCCTATTGACATGGATGAGTTCCTAGAACAGTACATTCCAGATTATCAAGTATTTAAAGACAGGTACATCCAAACACCTTGGGGAGGGTAAGGTATTTATTCAGACAGGATTTGGACACAATGGTTAACTACGACAAATTTAACCAGGTCCCTTATAACGAACCTGCTTCAATTTGCAAAGCCATTGCGTTCGAAAACATATATTATTTAATGACAATCATGAGAGAAAATCTTGGACTGCACAATAGATGAACAGCCTCTTGGAATCATATCAAAATAGCATATTTTATGCATGTTCTGAATCCAACAAATTACTGTATATATATTAACACTCCTTCATTTGAACAAAACAGTACAATTGAGAACTGTATATGTGGATCTGATTGGGCCAAATTGTAGGGGGTGACAAAGAAATATGATTTCCATTTTCATTATTGATTTATTTTCTACTTTTAACATATAGTCTTATTAATGTTCTGTTTTATATTTTGTTTACTGTGATATGGCTTAATGGCTACTTAATAAAGTATTGCCATGTTTTTTAAAACTGTTTTTCACAATTATTGAGTGCCTTGTTCCATGTCATCCCAACATTCTGTGCACAGTGTAAAAATTCAGATACCTTTCATAACACTTTGTTCCTTGCCAATTTGACTTACTCGTTGTGCTGACTTTTATTATACTGTTGTTTGTATATTTTAGTGTCTCTTAATTATTTTAAATCTCACTACTTTTTCTTTCCCTTCTCCTATAGTCCATGGCTATTTACAAAATAAATAAATATTGGTTTCTAAGAATACCTCTAGGCTGCATTGGGATTAAGAAACTATTTTACATACAACAATGGCACTCAAAATTGGTCCCTTGCTTTGTAGCATGTCCCCTTCTCTTTTCTAAAGTATTTACAAAAACTCAAGTCAGTTGTAATACCATCTCTAAAAGCACCAATATCTATCCATCATCTATTTACTGTCTGTCTGTCTGTCTGTCTGTCTGTCTGTCTCTCTCTCTCTCTCTCTCTCTCTCTCTCTATCTATCTAGTCTATGCCAGTGGATACCGCCTCTGGATTAAACAAGAATGACTTCTATAAATTAAACAGAAGTGTTTCTCTACCCCCAATAAAAATTTGGAGAAATGTTTTAAGAACAAAAATGTTCCATTCTTAATTTTTATATGTTTAAAATATATATATATGAATTTCTTTAAGTGCCACTTTCCAATGATTTGTGATTAGAGTATACAGTACCAATGACAATTTTTCTGCTTTGTTTGCTTTTCACAGAACATTTCTTTCCACTCTCTACTACAAAAATCTGAAGTAGCTAATGGAAAAATAGATGTATTTGATGACTGGGCAAATCCAGTATTGATTTGATTTATTCACACAAGAATTACTTTTTTTTGTAGGACATTAAATAGCCCGACTTATTCTTTAGTGTACAGATTTACAGATAAGCCTGCATTTTCAGATACTTTCCCCAGATACCCAGAAATGAAAATACTATGAAGTACCAGCAGTCCCATGCATAGAAAGTATCTTACTGATATGACACACAGGATGGACGTCACACATCTGTGGGAATGTAAGTGACCTTGCACTTTATCATACATCGCTTTGCGGTCTGGCCCCAAATGATCGTGGTTAACCGAAGACTACAGATGAAACTGAAAGCGTATAACACCTGCAGATCCTCACCTGCCTCCCGCCATAAACACAATCCACCCTACCCGAAGCCAGGCTTTTGACATTTATTCAGAAAGAAAGTACTCAGCACAACCATTTGGTTGGAGAGGTCGGGCTGGAGAAGCTTCTTGGATGAGAAGCGAAACTGGTCTTCAAAGAAAAACCAGAAAGTCCAGTTGTCTCTTGGAGAGAGAGGGGAAAAAAAAGCACCTGTGAGACAACCGTTTGGTTGGCAACCGGAGAAAGAGCGGCGCACCGCTTTTGTCCTGCTTTACGCGGGGCTGACCACGTTGCCACGAAACGAGCTTTTTATTTGCCGTTTTGGTGGCGTTTGCTTTCGATCCCTCCTCCGGCCCTCAGGCATCAGTCAGAATTCAGCCTCTTCTCCCTCCCCCCTTCTCGCCTTGGAGAGCGCCAGACAACTTTTCTCTTCCCGCTAGCGAGGCTCGGCCGTCGGTCGCGCGCCTACTCGGGCACTCGGAACACGCCTGAGGCCTCTCATTCGGCTCCCCTCCCCACCCCCTTCCAGAAGGAGGAGGAGGAGGGAAGCTGCTCGCTCCCTTGGCAGCGGCCGCGACGCTCCGCCTGGGCGCTTCTGCCTCCCCCCCCCCACCCGTTTTGTTTGGAGTGGGGAGCGGGGCGGACGAGATGCCTCAACTGCACAGGGCCCGGAGAATAGCCTGCGCCGAGAGCCTCCCGGAGGTCTCAGAGGGAGCCAAAGGAGCCGCTGGGCACGCCAACCCCGGCTATTCCAGCGGGGATGAAAAAGGGGAACCCTCCCAAGGGAACGAGGCGGCGGCCGCGGCGGCGGCGGGGGACGTGGAGGACCAGCCGCTCCTGAGGGGGATTTTTGAGGTCAAGAAGAAGAGCTGCGACGTGGTGCTGAGCGCCCAGAGGCTTAGATGGAGCCGTATCACGCCTGAGAGCCCCCTAGGTGAGGGCTGCGCCTCTCTGTAAGGGTGTCAGTGAGAGGAGAGAGTTATAACGTCCCCTCCCTCTCCTTCTCCCTGTCTCTTCCCCTCCCCCCCCCCATTCCCCTCCCCACAACCTGGCACAAAATTCCCAGCGACTAGATTTATCGCTACATAAGTTACTAGCCTTCTTCGTACTGGCTGATTTTAATGAAATCTGAACTCCTCTTCCCTGCCTCAGAAGTTCAGGTAGTCCTCAACTTACGACCGTTCGTGCCACACCGTTGCTCAGGGAAACCCTGCAGCTGTTAAGTTCGTCACATGGTTGTGAAGTGAATCTGGGTGAATCTGTGACTCTGGGACACTGCAACCGTCATACATGTGAGACAGTCATTAAGCATCCAAATTTAAATCACGTGACCATGGAGGGGTTGCTCCAAGGGTAGTTAGGGGTGAAAAAAACGGTCCTAAGTCGCTTTTTCTCAGTGATTTGGTAACTTCTAATGGTCACTGAAGGAACTGTTGTAAGTGGACTACATTGTAGGCATTGTTGTGTCTTAGTTTTCTCTCCAGCCCCTTTTCACCGAATGGGGAGGTCAGCGGGCATGTGGGGTGGGCATTAGTAGCAGCAAAGCTGAAGGAAAGTTTGGTTTGCCAGTGATGGGCTATCTAGAATGTAAAGTTGGGTATAGCACAGGGTACTCGCAAGGAGCGAGAATCTAGATTTGTTTTGCCTGTCTTTTCTAGCTGCAAAGGGATATTTGTGGTGGTGGTGGGGCCTTCCACTTTCAAACTGCATTTTTACTGAAAAATAACTTGCTTCCAATGTGAAGTTTAGGAGAAATACAAGCATCTTTACTGTATGTTAAGTTGCAATCACTTTTATCTGTTTTCTCACTGCAAAAAGGACAGAAACTATGTAAAGACCTATTGAAGTCAGATGTGCCTTTCCGTAGTAAGGCTAGAAAGTGCAGTTTTGAAAGAACCTTGGTTTGAGTTAAATTAGTTTACACAATGAAGACATGCAACTCCCCTCTCATGCAGTCTCGCCAGCAAAGGAAAGATTATTTTACTTGTAAAGGCTGACATTTCTCTTTGCTGCTTTCCAGTTGAGCTTCTTTTTTCTTAATCTTAACCCTGCCTAAACCTTAAAAAAAAGGATGGCAGATTAGTGGTTGAAAGAAAAAAACATTGCTCCATTTTTCTGTAGAGGGAATAGGTGTCCCTTGTATTTGCTGTGGTAGGCAAGGTTTATGCAAATCATGCTGTTCTTGCCTAATGCTAAGATCTGTGTGGTTGGAGCTGATCATGAAATGCAGTGTTTACTCCTGGAATAGGAAAGTGCAAATTTTCATCACCATTTGGAGCTTTGGAAACTTGGAGCTTTTCAATAGGAGATGGTTTATTTATTTTACAGCATTTCTAGGCCACCCAGTTCTCAATGGGTGTTGGGAGGCAAATAAAACAGCAGCACAATACACTAAAATTATGGTGAACACATCATGGCACCCCACTTCAGTTCAGAACAGAGTTTGTGGCAATTCTCAATCTTGTATTTCTTAGTAACTTGGTGGTGGTGGTGGGGAAATGACTGGTTTGGTAACCTAATTCCCAGAATATGCCTGCATAGAACTGAGATTAGTAATAGAGTGTCATTATGGGAAACTGCCAACTTACTCTTCAGGGCTGATAGAGTACTAGAGGAAAGCCCATGGAGACATGCCACATGATGCCCTTAGCCAGAGTCAAGAATTCAGAGAGTTGGTGAAATCAAAGCAAATCAGGCTCTAACTACAAGCTCCACCCCTAGCAATGGAGTGACTATGTGTACTATTCAAAATAAATGAATGGGAGGAATTTACACATGGAAGTCTGCATGCAATCCACAATCTTGTGTTACTAAGATTCTGTTAAAATTCCTGTCATGTGAGCGGACTTCCATTTGCACGATGCAGGCTTTTTCTCCATGATTCTTGATAAACAATTGACATCAGAATATAGGGTAAACTTGTATCTTCAAATTTTAAAAATAATAGCAGTAAATTCATTTTCATGGAAACAAGGTTCTTCCCATTAAGGATACTTTAGAATATTAAAATATTTAAAATATGCCCCTGATTATCTTGCATTGTGGTTGTTGGGCCATATTTTATATGTGTTAATGTCCTATCCAAAATATTGTAATGTCAAAAAAACCTATATATTGAAATTAAAATAGTAAAATGATAGTTATCTTTGTTGACTTAGTCAGCATAGCAACTTATAGGCAAATCAAATACAGCTTACATAATTTAAAATGTGCTGAACCTTTTATATATTTTTAGCTTTTGCTAAATAAACTCTGGTAGTCTTTTGAGTTATTTTTATGTTCTTATGAATTGTTCTGTTGAAACAAATGTGTTACATTACCTGTGTGCTTGATACATCCATTACCCCAGCCCTGTACCATAAGGGTCTGATATTATATTAGACACCAGCTGATTTTATGATAGCATCAGATTTCTTTCACATATGTTTGTTTTGTCCAGATGAACTCAAAGAACATCTGTTACTTTTGTGGTGGTATCTGCTGCTTCCTTTCAGTATTTGACCTTTTGGTTAATTATAGCTAACAATCTGCAAAATGTTTAGTATTTTTCTCCTATGCGTTTCTTTGGGGAGGAACAGAAATGAATTTTACTAACCTTAAAGTATCACTTGCATATTTAATATTTAATCATACAGACTTTTAAAATTGAAAATATCCAAAGTATCAGAAATTAGGATTATGTACACTTCAGAAAAAATAAAGAAGAAGCTTTTCAGACCTTCTGTGAGCATAGCACTCATTAAAGTAGCCCACCCTTTGAATGGTGTTTGTGTAAGCCTAAAATAGATGCAGATGCTTTAAAAGCTGACTCATTAAAGGTAAAGGAAACTCTTAAATCAGTATCATTTTTTCCCCCAAGATTCCATAGAAATCTGATACTGGGCTACTTTAAAGAACAGGGGGAGGTAGCCTGAAATATGTTTAAATAATTTTTGTAAGGTACGCAGCTTTAAAGAGAATATTATATTTTTCCATTTTTAAATTACGTTTAAGACTATAAACATTCATAAAATCCCCAAAATTATAAAAATATTTAAAATATTTTTAAATTATAATTATAAAATTATAATTTTTTTTAAAAAGGTACCAATAGTAATTGGATCAGACTATAATGCTACGATCAGAAAAAAATCTGTATTAATGTGATATTTCAGCGCTTTCAAATTTACCATTAGTGGAAGCCATGATAGTTTTATAAACTAGTATTTGATACTTTGAGTGTGAAAATTTGGGGGAAATCTAAACTCATAAAAACTCATAATTAGCAAAATTATGCAGTACGCAAGCATGATTTCTAATTGCTCTGAACTATGAGTTGGGTGGCATATAAATTTAATAAATGTAATAAATAAAATTATTATTTCTGAGCCTCAATGAGTTTCAAAATTTAATTCATGCCTTATGTACTGTTTAATACAGTATTATATGTAAACTTGCTTATTGGCTATTTTTTAAAAAAGAGTAAAACTGATTTCAAAAATTACTCCTATGCTTACCACGTGTTTTTTTTTTTAATAAATGGAAATTGATAATGTGGTTTTTTTTTAATGGTACAGTTGAATTAGTTTGCTATATTCACTAAGTGGTGATAGCATCTGTAGTGTAAAATAAAGTATGCTTAAATTACTTTGCAGACCTTTTAATCTCTGAAACAACAGATGTTATGTGCTATCTAGCAATGTGTATCATGGAAACAGTGATTTTCTTCAGGGAAATAATTGATGAACAAATGACATAATTACTGACCCCAAGAATACATATTTGTTATTTATTGGCTGATACACTTTGGTTATGATGATATTTTTGGAAAACAATATTATATAAAATATGAAAAGAAATACTGGAAAAAAAAGATGGGTTATAACAAATGCATGTTCATACACAGATGTTAACCAGCAAGATAAAGCCATGTCCTTGTTACAGGTTAATAACCAAAAGGAGAAGGAAGTCTTGCTTAATAGGAAGCTGTGAGATGATAAAAATTGGAGGAGCTGATTAAGCTGGTTTATAGTTATAAATATGACTTTAAATATGACTATTGAAGATTATCAGCTGGTTTACCTCATGATCTCACAATGTATTGTATTTATTAATCCAAGTTTCTTTTGTTACAACAGTGACAATAGAATAGAAATATATCTGAGCTTCATCTTGGCCCAGTTGGCTGGGCTTTCTACCTGCCAAGATGTGCCAGGGATTTGGATGTCTTGTGGGCAAGACATGAAATATTTTTTTGTCTTGCTTTGCCAATATAGAGATAATCCTTGTTTAGAAACCAACAACTGTTGTTAAGCAAAGCAGTCATTAAGTAAAATCACAAATATGCTTATGATTTTACTTCAGCTTTCCTTTGCTTTTCAGACCTGTGAAAGTTGTAAATGCAAGGATTGATCATAAAGTTACTTTTTAATCACCTTCATATATACAAACAGCTGAATGAGGCATTTGATAAATGAGGACTATCTATAGAATTAATAAATAGATTTCTGTAGGTTGCTGAAATCTTTTCATGTATCCAAATATACAATGGAAGGCATTGATTTCAATGGATTGACCAATTGAATTCCCATTTGTTTGCACAATCCACTAAAAACAGTAACAGTGGCAACAAACTGCATTGGATTATGTATTCTGTTTAGGTTTATTCAATTTTATAAGAACATATAGTTCTTGAAGAATGTACATTCAGAATTATATTTCTTCCTATCCCCACCCCACCCCCTAATATCTCAAAAAAGTGTAGAGTACAACCCCCCCTCAATATTTTTCAGAGTTCATATAGCTTCTTTGATTCTTTTGTTGCCTGGCAGAAGTGGTATTTGTAAAGGTTTGCCAACTTGCATAGTCTTTTTGGAACTAAAAAGAAGATGCTGACCGAAGCTAAGCTTCTCCACCCACAGATCCAACATATATTAAACCATGAAAAAAGAAAATCTATCTATCTGTCCTTGAAGGTAGTAATTTGTTTCAGATGATATGTACCTAAAATGGTTCTCCTTATAAAATGGTTTCCTTCCTTCTCTCTGATATTTGCATCCCAAGTTTAAAAAGCAAAATACAAAGAATAAAAAATCTCCTTTCCTTTTTATCTCAGAGACCAAATCTCAGAGGAATAAAATATGAGTGGTCAAATAAGTTTGGTTAATAAATAAAATTAAAAATTTGAAATGTTTGAGAAGGTTCGGTTACTTATGAATGTGATATGCTTAACTAAAGTGCTTATTAACACATGCTGATAGAAATTAATATCATAGCTAACCTTATTTTTCTGTTGTATTTGAAGAAGTGGACATGTGCAGAAACTGTGAGTACAATTAGTGTCAAGCAGATAAATCCACCTCTAATCCTGTTTATGCTCTACATCAGGCAGATGTGCCAAAATTGATGTAGACAAGCTCTTGGCTTACAGTAATATTTTAAAGAGCTATGTAGTATTGTTTTTGCTGAGGTCTTAATGTTAAGTGTGGTTAAAAAGAGAAGAAAACCTAGCAAGTGTAACCTACTTTATGAAGGTTTGTGGCCTGCTCTTATGGTGACAATAATAGCAAAAAAGAGTATTTTTGTTCCTTGTAATTAAATTGATTTTAAAAATACAGTGGGAAGTGGACGCTGAATCAAGTAAATAGCATGATATCTAATGTGTACTTAAATCCCCTGTAAGAACAGATGGCACCCTGTATCCTTCTAGGTAATATGAGAGGAGAGTTAATGTTTTGAAACAGCTAGCAATATTAGTATCATACTAATGAATGGACAATTTTAAATGGAAAAGAAAAGTTTGCACTATATATTTATATCCCAGTTTTAATTAAAAATTTAAAAGTTTTCAATGTTGTTAGCTGAACGAGAAATTGATGGTGAAACTCCATTTTTTCAGGGGAAGTTAAAGTTTTTATAATTTCCTTCTAATTAAATTTGTTCATAACTGTTTAAAATAACATGGTAGTTATTTGAAATTGTGGCTAACACTATGATGTCCTTTTTTACAGAAAAGTTGTAGAATTGTCAATTCCAGATAGTAGTCTCCATAAGACCAATTACATTTGAACTTCAAGAAGTGTTTGTAATACACTAACCATGATCAGCATTCTATTCTTTTTAATGGCTAACAAATAAGATCACTAGGGTTTTTGGGATGTGGTGGCAATAGAAAACAACACAAGATACATTCAATGTTTCTCTAAACTTAATGTAATAAGAAGATTCCCCTCCCCCCCCCAAAAAAATTCTTCTTATCAATGATTTTGTTGGCTGTAGACCTTTGGCTACATCATTCAGTCTGCAGCTAGATGAGTCTTAATGGCTAAAAAGATGTATGAAAATCAGATTATTTAGGGATGTGTAAAGCACCTTTGGAAAAAGCACCTTACCTGCATAATTGAGAATCTCCACAGACTGCCAAAATTACTTCTTGCAAACTTATACTTGTGTCATCATGAGAATAAATAACCCCACTAATGTTTCTAGTGAACAATCCAATTGTGTGTGCATGTGTACAAATACATAATACTCTCTCACACTTCTATACTAAGAACTGTAAATGATTAAACTTTATTTGTTCTTTTCCTTTTTGCAGGAGGTTCCAGTATTGGTTTACACCGTAAGGAAGAATCTGTTGAAATGAAAGATGTATTTTCCATAAAATTGAAACGTCGTCGTTTTGCTGGGCAAGAAAAAGGAGGCATACTATTAGGAATTACTATTTTTGTGTGTTTAAATAAAGAAGGCAATAAACTTAAAGATGCCACCATCCATCTAGGTAACATAAGTGAAGACCATTGTTACGTATGGTATAGGTCTTTGAAGACAATTTTGATGGGTAAGTAATTTTCATATTTTCAAAAAAATTTGTGAGAAAAGATGTAACGGCAGTGTTTCTGTTTTATCAAACAATACATTCTATTGATTTTAGAAGAGTTTATGTCCAGGTTAGGATAATTAAGATTTCAGTAATTTTCCTAGCCATACAATAAATCTCTTATAACTGATTTCATGTTGATATGGTTATTATGATTTTTATTATTACTGTTATTGTTTCCTTGATATACTGCTTCACATGTGAAATTACATGGATTTTATTTTGTGTATTTGTGTATTTGAAACTCAGCTCTTTTCTCTGTCCCTGTGTTCAACAGGAGATGAGAAACCTTTCCTTTTGTTTCATTAGCTACAATTTCTTGTTATTTCTGAATCCTGGAAAATTATATTATCTTCAGGTCATGCATTATATTCCTGGCTTGTTTTCCTAACCCATGGGTGACCAACCTTTTTACTCCATTAAATTTTATTTGTACTGATGAGTAAAATACTAGTTGTGGCAACAGATGTGTTCACACCTGATGGGCTTTAGATTTCTTCTCAAGATTTACTGTGCCTCTATCTACCTGTCTGTATTTTTGACTGCACAAATGCAAGCAGATTCTCATTTTCCCCTGGACGTGCACTGCAGCTCTATTCCTGCTTCAGATTGATTGGTACTTGGGAGTAGAAGGCATGTGGTTGAATAAATGTGTTCTTGTTATATACATTTCTTCTTCAATAGATACTATCAGCAGTGCTCTTCCGTAATTTTTGTACCAGTCTGATGGGCAGAAACTATTTGCTTAGGAAAGTGACCTGCAAGCTGCATCCAGAACTCATTGTTCTCAGATTAAATAGAATGAATAAATTAAATAGTGGAAAAGCTTCTTGTCTCCTTAACGCCATACTGGTAGGATGAGTGGTAGCTTCTCACCACCTATTCCCATAGTGTTATATTATAGTTTAGGAATAATGATGGATTGTAGTTTAATGATAATGAACTGTGTTCATATTATCATGCCATATCAAATTAGTCCAATATATGCAAAAATCTTTTGTCCTTGCACACAGTCACTTTGTCTCAAACTATCTTGGCTTGCTCTGAAATTGGTATTCATGGTTTTACCTACAGGTAATGGATTATCATTTAATGGATGTTTAGAAAAAAGACCTGCTAACCCAGAGGAAAAGATTAAATATAATTCTATTCTTTTTGATGCCTCTAGGTAGGCTTTTGGTGAATTCTGTTTAGGTGCTGTGCTCCAATTATTTTTGCATTTGTTTTATACTACTGTTTTAGAATTAATCTTTTAAACCATTTTTAAAATGGTTAAGCTGATTACTTTCTGTTTTGAAAAAATGAATGTCTTATTTTTAAATGATAAGGGAGATTGTGTCTGACTTGGGCAACATTTTCTAAATCATGTTTCCCATGAATTAATTGCTATTGTGAAGCCATCTTTATAATAACTAGTTCTATAATAACTAGTTCTCTGTTGTAACTGAGTTTATGCAGTGTTGACTTATTTATTTACTTGTTCATCCATCTGATGGATGCCGCTTGACTCCAAGTGATTCCACACAACTCAAAGAAGAAAAAAAAAGCATGACAAAAATACAATAAATAGGAATAGAAGAAAAATAATTATTAAAAAAAGATAACTACAAGATCCAAAAATCCAGACAACACACCAATACATATCCAAAATATTACACCTCAAATAAGGGGGCTCCACCTCCTCCATCCCACTGTTTGGGAGAACAAGACTTTCAGGTTCTTCAAGAACATCATCAGGATTATTTTTGTTTGTTTTAGGGGTCTATATCTTCATTGACAAAAAAGTTTATCTATCTCTGCATTTGAGAAGTGAAGGAATTGGGAATGACTTTGTGGAATGACTGTCTTTCTCAAATGTTTCTCACTGCTCCCATAAATCAAGATCTGTAATGCCATAAATATTTGACAACAGTAATTCAGTATCCTAGAAAAAATATAATGAACAATATTTTTGTTAACTTTTGGTCTAAAGACCAAGAGCAAATTTAGAAATAAAATTAAGATAATATTAACATGAAAAAGCAAAGTTTAAAATTATGTTGCAAATTATGTACTGTTAAAAGTCAGACAGAATTAAAATGTTTTTGCCTCCTTTTTTAAGTGATTAGGTTTATACTCCTAAGGGAGGAAATTGTATGACTGAGAATTGTACCAAAAACCTCTTCAGCATCCTTGATCACTCCTGCCATTTCCTGATAGCATTTTGCAATTGTGGTACTTTGGTTGAATCTTATTAATCCTGCTTTAATACACATGATTGTGTTCTCATTTATTGAGTTCTTCTTTTATGCTAATTTCTTTTCTTCATTTTTCAAGTACTGAAATAGAATCATATATAGTTATATAAATAGGTACTTTATATTACCTGACCTTCAGTATCTTATTTTGTATCAAAAGACTGATTATCAATTTGAATATTTATAATGTTCTTATTAAGTCCATGCCTGTCTAATGGCATTGTAAAAATAAATGTTACTATATCAAATGGTTATAAATGTTGGTTTTACAATAAAAAACATAAAAATAAAAATGAAAGTTCTGTAATTAAAATTGAATATTAAAGATTCTGATATTAAGGATTATGTTTTATACCTTACAGCTCATTTCTTACAAAAAAAACCTAAGGTATTTATCATTTCTTAAATATTCATTATATTGGTTTTGCACATGTCCTAGAGACACAGCAATAATACTTTTGTTGATGAATAAAAATATCTACTTTGATAATATTTCTTTTGTTTATTTTAAGTTGACAGGTTTTAATATATCAAATATGATCATGTTGAACTTTATTATGACTTAATGTTGTGTATATTAGGCTTTGATATTTACAGTAGTGCACCATTAACAATTTTCAAAATTTTGAAATTAAAAATAGGCTTTGCAGTTCACTGGGATACAATTCTAAAAATATTATGATAGATGTTGATTGTTTTATAAAATACTGCTATAAAGTATTAAAACCAGAATAGGGTAGTTTCAATGCTTTCGTTGTATCTATGATAAAGGTTTCTAAGATGAAACCATATCACTTGTCCTATCTTTCAAAATCTTTCAAAACAAAACATGTTAGCAATATATATTGTTCTTTTCAGAATAAAAGTGGAATGGTTATTGATATGAGCAAGTGTTATTAAATCTCTTTTACAGGACGCTTCCCATACCAAGCTTTAATACGGGTGTCTAAAGCTTCATGCATGAAGACTTAATTATCACATGAATGTTATACATTAACAGTTGTAGCATCAACTGTGTTTTATCTCTAGTTAGCATGAAAAATGTTTATTCATGTCCTTATTACTGTCTCTATGTAGCAATTTTCTTATTGCTGGTGGTATAAGAGATTAATAATATTTATGACAGTGACATCATTTTGGGCTCCTAACTTTGGTAAACATAAACGTACTACCATAAAACCAAATACTGAAAGCAGCACAGATGTGTGTTTGAGGGTAGTGTCCCTGCTGCCCTAGGAGCCTTTGTTTTCAGAACACCCTGATTAACCCCTACTTTTCATGGTTCATTGATTCATTCACTGATAGATCAAGTTTAAACTAGTGCATATTAGCGCATTTGTTACCAGCAGAGGAACAATTGGCTGTTCTCTATAAAAGCACTACTTTGGTTTGGGGAAGAAAGCTACAATAAACTCTTAAATTAAATGTAGGTTATGATGCTGCCAAATCTGTACAGTTCTACATGTTTGCAGTGGGAGTTGAAATACTTAACCATTAATATTTCAACATATTAAGTTGCTTGTTAAAAGTTGGCAGAATAATCTCATTGGGGAAGAAGAAAATATGTTAGATGATTTTATGCCACCCAGAGCCACTTTTAAGATGGGCAGCTGTGGAAATCAAATAAATTAGGAAATGCTCAGAATCTTATTGATACTTTGATAAGGTATTTGCTGATTTAAAGTCCAGTGCTATCAACCTTAGCTATTATGATTCATCAGACTAAGAATAAGCCTTGTGTCTGCAAAATCCTCCCCTGGCACTCCCTCCTTTGCCTTCCATTTAGGTTATTCAATGCAATGACTGAAGGAGCTTACCCAAGTAATGTGAAGGGCAGCCCTCCTTTCCCGTCTCCATGCAGTGATTATTTTATTAGGACCTTAGTTCCCAAATCTAGAACTCTTCTGTATGGTTCCTAATGTTCATTTGATTCGAGTCCCCTCAGTCCTTCCCTGATCATTTCCTTAACCCCAAATCTAGGTACTGCCTCAGATACACTTTTAAAAGTTATTTACAATCCACTTCATTTGTTGTGAAGAAAGACAATCTTCCCACATTTAGAAATGCAGAGATGAGCACGAGAGCCTCACAAATTGTATCGCCCTCCATAAATGAGAATGATTGTGTGTTGCAGAGGGCCTCTTCTATTTCTTTATTGAAAGTTCTTCAATATAAACTTAGTTAAACTTTGTTTTTTCCAGAGACTTTAATTGTATGACCGCTTCAAGAGATAAAACAAACTGCCTGGTGCACATCATTCTTTATATAAGGCAGATAAAGGAGTAAAGTGGAACTCTCTGTGCTTTTCATCATCCTGGAAGAGGCTTAATCAAGTTTGTCTGACTGATTAATGCTTATCTGAAACGAGCAAACTCTATTTGGATTTGTTTTTTGTTTAATTGGAACAAATAATGGATTCTTCAGTTGGAGCTAGTGAAATGATGTAGACTTAAAATTCATAATTGCTTCAAAAATTTATTCTAAAAAAATCCCAAAATAAAATAGAACTCCCAGTTCTTCAAAACTAGTTCTGTTCCTGATTACAGGTATAAGTAAAAACATAGTTATGAATACATGGATACACATAAGAAAAAACAACAACAATAGGACAGGGACGGTAGGCACATTGGTGTGCTTATGCACGCCCCCTACAATCTTAGGAAAGGGGTGAAGTCAATAGTAGACAGTCTAAGGTTTAAGTTTTTGGGGTTTGGGGAAGAAACTACAGAGTTGGGTAGAGTATTCCAGACTTTGACCACTCTGTTGCTGAAGTCGTATTCCCTGCAATCAAGTTTGATACGATTAACCTTGAGTTTGTATCTATTGTTTGCTCTTGTATTGTTATGGTTGAAGCTGTAGTATTGATTGACTTTGCAATGTATGATTTTATATACTATACTTAGATCGGACTAAAGGCGGTGTAGTTCTAGGTTTTCTATGTCTAGAATTTCAAGTCTGGTGGCATAAGGTATTCTGCAACAAGTAGAGGAGTGGAGAACTCTTCTTGTGAAATATTTTTGGACTTTCTCAACTGTGTTAATATCAGATATGTAATGTGGGTTCCAGACTGATGAGCTGTATTTGAGTATTGGTCTAACAAATGTTTTGTATGCTCTAGTTATTAGTGTAATATTACCAGAGAAAAAGCTACGTAAGATTAGGTTAACAACTCTTAACGCCTTTTTGACTATGTAGTTACAGTGGGCTCTAGCACTTAGGTCATTAGAGATGAGTACTCCAAGATCCTTGACAGAGTTTGGATCATCAACAAGGTCTTGACTATTCAGCCTGTATTTTATTTCTGATTTTTTTTGCCAATATGTAGGACAGAGCATTTATTTGTTGAGATTTGAAGTTGCCATTTGTTTGACCATTCTGATACATAGTCAAGGTCTTTTTGAAGGGTAGCAGTATTGTCTGTGGTGTTGAACAGCTTTACATCATCAGCGAAGAGAATGCAGTTGTTCTTGATTTTATCACAGGGGTCATTTATGTAGAGTATGAAAAGAGTTGCTCCTAGAACTCTGCCTTGGGGGACATTACTGTTGACAGGTACAGAATTTGATAGGACACTCCCAATTTTGACCATTTGTTGTCTGTTTGACAGGAATGCTTCTATCAGTTATGCAGGTGTCCAGAGCTACCGTAAGATTTTAGTTTTAGGAGTAGTTTGTCATGTACCACTGAATCAAAGGCTTTACAGAAGTCTACGTAGATTGCGTCTGTTGCTTTGCCCTGATTGAGTTGTGTAGTCGATATGTTTTTGCAGTTTAAGAGTTGCAGATTACATGATAGTTTTTTTTCCTGAAACCAAATTATTTATTAGAGAGTAGGTTGTTTGTTTCTAAGTGGAGGATGATGGATTGGTTAATAATTGATTCCATGACTTTACAGGTGATGCAGTATAAAGAGAGGTTTTCTTCATTTCTGAGTTCTATTTTAGAGTCCTTGTTTATTGAAGGAATGTTACTGAAGCTGTGAGATAATTGGAAATAAGTGGTCTTTGCTTACTAAGCACAAATTATCCTCAGAGCTATCAGTAAATTGAGAAATACTTTCTGCTTGTCCCACAAATGTATAGGGCCATCTGGATTTTAGGGTAAAAGAAGAAGAAATAGCTGACCTAGCTGAATGCTTGAGGGAAGGGGACCAATAAATTAAACAGTGATTTGGACAGTTCTACAAAAGAAAATCTAAATAAGCATTCAAGAATAAAATCAATTCATACTTGATAATTATGAATACATGTGGAAGATTGGTAACACAAACTTAATGTATGTGAGAAAAGAGGGACATGATTCTCCTGTAGAATCAATCATTTCTGTGAAATAAACAGAGAAAATACATTTAACATTAAGGAATTAAGAACACCAGAATTTGTATTTTTGAACCTCAGCCTTCTCTTTCGAGAATAAACTTTGATGTACCACAAGCCACATCATCCTTACAAAAATGAGAAGACCAAGTATAATCTGTTACAGTTTATAGGGAAAATAATCAAAGAAGTTTACAGGTAGTCCTTGACCTACAACCATTCATATAGTGACTGTTTGAAGTTACAGTGGCACTGAAAATGTTACTTATGACAGGTTTTCATACTTATGACTGTTGCAGCATCCCCTTGGTTATGTGATCAAAATTTGGTTGCTTGGCAACTGCCATGTATTTGTGACAGTTGCAATATCCTGGAATCATGTAATTACCATTTCTGACTTCCCAACCAGCTTCTGACAAGCAAAATAAATAGGAAATCATAATGACCATATGAGTTCCTTAACAACTGCAGTGATTTGCTTAACAACTGTGGTAAAATGGGGCACAACTTACTTAACAGCTGCCTTGCATAGCAATGGAAATTTTGGGCTTAATTGTGGTTGTAAGTTGAGGACTATCTGTATTACGCTGATAAGTATATTAATGATTGAACTAGAATTTCTTAAATTCTTTGGATTACAATAGGTTCTCAAGTTAGGATTGGTTTTCATCTCATCCATCCAAATTGAAGAAGGGTGCAATTGTGATACTTTTAAACAAAAATTTAAACAAGAGATTAATGAATTGGACATGATTGCAGGTAGCGGCTACACAAAAAACAATATAGAAATCAAGTTAAACAGCAGGGAAAGCATCTAGATATGCATTATTACTTTCAATACTGGATTTAATTTCTTTGCCACATCACTTCCTCTCATAATGCTAAGGCAATAGTTTCTTATACATCTATAACTTGTCCTGGCAATTAATCAAAGTGAAGGATGAACTTTGGACCACATAAACAATAATTAGTATTTATACTGGATCGTTCAGTGCACTTAGCATTCTGTCTTTTCAGAGAAATGCTTGGAGAAGAACAGGAAGACAGAACACACCAACATTTGTCTATAGAAGAAGAAACTATGCCAATTGCGTAACCTTGTCACAATTTTTCCCAGTCTAGCTACCTTCTAGATATGTGTGAACAGTCACTCCTAGATGTTCCCAGCTAGCACAGCAGGCAGTGACAATTCTGGGAAGGTCTGCACAACTGGAGGGCATGGTAGCAGAGAAATGTTGCTTTTTCAGAACTTATTGTACATGAATCAACAGTTTCAACATTTTTAAAATGTGGATATGAATATTTCTATTCTACTCAGCAACTTTTTTCATGACTCTCAATTTTACTTTAGTTGGACTGTAATAGTATTGTATTATTATAATTATAGTACAAAAGAAAAAAAATTGAATTGTTTCATTATAGCTTCTACATATGTTTACCTTTATAGTTTTTCTTTGGGGGCGGGGGGGTGTTAGGATGGATAAATTGGAACGTTAACTTTTATACTGCAGAAGAAATGCCCTTTTGCTTTTGAGAAATTGAACCAGAAATAAATATGAATAGAATTTGTGATGAATGAAATTAGTTTTGAGATAAAGATAATTAATAGTGTATTTTAAAAAAATGAAATAGGAAAGTAACCTTAAATTTTATTTCAAATGTGAATGAAATTGTTTCGATTTTTGCATATCCTTTTTAAAATCTTTTAATCAAGGGCAGATTTCTTTTGCACCTGCTCCTTCTGTGTGGCATGATACATAATCTGCAAATCCTGAAAATTGTAGTATCAAATCTCTGCACCAACTGTGAAGGAGTACTATTATCAAATCCTTGCTGAGAGGCACTTCCTCTTATTCTCCCAGGAGAAAATTCTCTTCTCAATTTATCACTCTCCCTCTTTCAGGTTTGAACTGTGACCTAAAATCTTTTTTATTATAGCTGCTGCATAATGCTCTTGACGGTGACTGACTCAAAGTAGTATTGTCAGCTACAAACACATAAGTGGGTCAGTGCTCTAGTTGTATCAGGATTATGTTGGAGTTGGATATAAGTAATGAACATCCTAGCTCCCTCCCCTCACCCCCTACTAATGTTATGAAGAACTCTAAAAGCTGTATGGTTCCAAAAATGCATAAATATCTGCCTGTTACCAATGAAACTACCTGTTATCAAAGGTGCTGTGACATTTGTTTGTTTTTAGGGTTTCCAAATCGGCCAAAGTCATTAAAAGTATTTGTCAATCCAACTAGCCATAAAAAAGAAGCTACTCAGATTTATTATGAGCAAGCTGCTCCCCTCTTCAAACTGGCTGACATTACGACTGACGTTACCGGTAAGATGCTTTAGAGACTTTGGTTTAATCCATTAGTACATTGCATGACTCACTAATACTGGAGATATTTGTGTTTCAGTGGATAGACTGAATTTTCTAGGGCTTATTTTGGGAAAGGAGATGATACTACCAGTAGTAGGAAAGCACTCTGTCAATTCAGAGGCCTGTTTGCACAAGATCGCCCCCCCTATTGAACAAAGCACATTGCTTATCAGAGAGGGGACTTATGTTCTATGAAAGTCCCTTTGCCTATTTTTATTTTCATTTTGGAAATATGATGTTGGCTTTCAAAATTTATTGAATATTAGACAAGCTATGTTCCTTTGAGTCATCAGAGATATTTCCTTACCTAAACAGAGAAGCAGAGTGACCAGAGGTGGGTAAAAAAGCAATGGGAATGGGAGCAACTTCTGACTCCCTGCCAGCTTCCCCATTGAATTACCATGTAGGAAGCTGGAAATCTCCCTTTCTCTCTTCCTCCCTCCCTCCGGGGCAGTTGGGTGGATGGCATACCTTGGGAATGGTGTGTATGGGTTCCTTTCTCCCTCTTTCTCTCTTCCTTCCCTTCCCATCAGGAGGGTAAGTGGCCATAGTTGGATGGGAAGGGAGTGAAGGATTGTGTGAGGGGCTGGGAAATTGGAACGATTTGGAACAATGAAAATGATCACATGACTACAGCAGCAACCCAGCAGCACTGAAGCAGCCATAACTTGCCCAAATTTCATTTCCTTAGGAGTCACAGGTCCTAGGTTTTGGACACATAATGTAAGTTAGTCCCTTTGAGGTACTTTGGTTCTAAAATGGTATGTCACAGCTGGTTTAGTCTATTGTGGTGGATAACATTAATTACTAGTTTTAAAATAGAAGTGTATTAAATTTTTTCATTTGAGACATTCTCATTAAATATACGCCATATATTAAAATTCTGTGATACGTGATAATTCAAATAATACTGCTGGGTTTATTGGCTAGCACTCCTCCTTTAGGAGAATTTAACAAATTACAAAAACTTCAGGTTTATTGAACTAGTTATTTTTGCAACAGTATAAATTGATAATCATACATTGACAATCACACAGGAATATATTCTTCCAAAAGATAGTGGACTACTTAAACATATCAATTTAAAATAATTGTTTTTCACATATTTGAGTGCATTGTACAATAAAAATAAGTTAACTAGAGTACAATTATTATTTTTTGTAGTTTTAGGGTTAAGTTTACTAGATTGTAATAAATGTTTGAGGTTTAGAACCTTGTAAAGCATGCAGCCATGGAAATAATTCTCAAGCTTTGTAGTCTAAGCAGTTTGGCTTTGGCAGACTTGATTACTTTACTTCTTGGAGCTTCCCCTAGAATGAGTCATAATTAAAATTAATAATATTTCCTGCTTCATATGCAATAACAAAGCAGAATTAGTTGAAAATGAGCAAATACTTCCTATCTTATTACACTACTAAAATGGACCTGTATTTTACAGTGCAGCAAAGCATCATGTTCCAGCATACTCTATCTCATTGCAGTCATAAACTCTGCTTTGTATTGCTTCCTATTTCTTCTCTTTGATTCAGCAAGAGAAAAGGGTGTATGTCTTTGTTATACTAATTATTCAGTAGTCAATACATTGGAATGTATCATTCGGTCTACTGTATTCATTAAGTTCTGTTATCTAGGCAACGAATCCAGTTTGATGTGATAGTTAAGGCATTAGAATTAGAATGGGTGGGTGACCTTGGGCCAATCCCTTTCTCTGGGCTCCAGGAAACAAGCAATGGTAAAAATCTTGCCAAGAACACTGGAGGGACTAGTCAAGGCAATTGTCAGGAATCAATACTTATTTGATGGTGCACACACACAGGTAATTGGAAGGTTGGGGCTGACCTATAAATATATCTTCCCAATGTTTAGGTATCCCAGAGATACATAAAATCACTATGTCATTATTTCAATGTTCTGTCAACTCATTTGCTCAGCTTTGATGTATGTACAGAGAATGATAGTGTTGAAGTGCTGCTTCTGGGCTTTGCACAGTATTACTCTGGCCTTTAAGGTTTGGAAATGGTGTGACACATGCATGATTTAATTGATGTTATTTTATACAGTAATTTGTTTTCTCACCCTTAAGAACATTTTTACTTACTATAATGAATTAGGTGAGCTGTAAAAATAAATCATGTTCAATTATTAAATTTATTAAAGAATAACGACTAAAAATATTAAAGCATATTAACATTGGGATTTTATAGTGATGCATCATTTATCCAGTGAATTTAAACATCTAAAAAAGCACTGGAAATGATGAAACATACTACACCAAAGACAGCCAAGCATGAAATATTAATGTAATCTTGGATATAGTAATGTACATTGTTACATAAAAAAATCCATCTGGAATTGTCGTATCAGTCACCAGAAACCTTTGATGAGTGGGTACAGCTGGGCTGCCTCTTCTGGCAACCATGGCTTAGAAAATTGTACATGTGGTTATCATACTTTATACCATCTGCATTATGCCACTTTGTTCTTTATTTGCTGGTGTTTATTGTACTGCATATAATAGCAATCAACAGCAGCATACATTTAAAAAATCATTTCCTCTGAGGCCACAGATCTCTGATGTGTATGTGATCCAGCAGCCTCTTATGCTATATTGTTTTGTTATTAGGTTCCCAGCTTTATTCTTTCCATACTTCATTTGTTCAACCTGAAGCAAAGATTTATATTTTATATACTAATAGCTAAAATAAAGGGATTATATTTAATAGAACCATTTCTATTAGAAATAACATCTATTTTCTCTTGTTATAAAAGAACAAATAAGGTCCACAAACAAGAGACAGGTGCAAAAAGTTATATTTATCATGGAAGCTTATAGTGTCTCAGGATTCTTTTAATTTAGAAATATGTTTTCTAATATATTGTAAGAGTTAAGTTGAGCTCACTATTTATTATCTGAGAAAGTTTGTCAGTTCAAATTTTCAACATTTCAGTAGCAAAATTCTAATAGAAGAAACCATTTTGTTGTTGGAAGAAAACATATTGTACTTGATTAGGTACATAATTAAGTTTTAGAAATTCTTGCCAATAGGCTGTAAATCAACTTATCAATAATGGCATATAAAATGTTTTGAATTACTCATTTTCCACTTGAAACCATTGTTTCAAATTCAAAATAGCTGCTTGCATTTGAAATAGGTGGTTTTGATTGTTCTGGTAACATTTTAAACTCTGAATATTTAAAATACCCCAACATGATTAAAATATCCCATCCTTAGTGTGAAACAACTATTTCGAATGTCTTATATAAGAAAGAAACCAACAGGCAGACATTGCTGAGGATATGTTGTAACTGGGAAGGGGGGAATGCTCCAAAGGCTATTCTTTTGCGGAACAATTGTCTTCCTTGGCATGTAGCACTACCTCCACTAGAGCATCTGATGATGGTTTGTTCAAATCTGTGGGCATGCAGAAGCATATTTGAAATTAAACTTGGTTGGAACTTGGAGACTCTTTTTCTAAGGGGTGGTGGGAGGGGGAATTCACTGGGTGCCCAACAAGTGTCTGGGAAGCAATTTTAAGAATTGTGGGTGCATATAAATGTCCCAGGATAATGTTGCAGGATCCAATCTGGGTCAGTCTCAGGGACCAAAGGTTTTGTCTTCCAAGCTTTCAGACTCATGCTGTAGTTCATCCTCAGGGAACTTCTCTGTGTGCTCTGCTGTGTGTTGCATTTATATGGCCGCTGTTGTGTGTAGCTTTTTAAATGTAGATTGGGGTGTTTAATAGCCAGCCAACAATCTATATCTAAAAAGCTACACACTACAGCTACCACATAGATATCACCCACAGAACAGCACATAGAGAAGTTCCCTGACAAGGGACTGCAGCACGAGTCTGAAAGTTCAGAAGGCAAAACATCTGGTCCAGGTGACTGACCCAGATTGGATCCTCTAAGACTTGTCTACCTTTAAGACGTTCAATACTGTTTACATGGACATTAATTGTTTTAGTCTTACAATGAATTATGGGGGTCTTTCTTTTCACATAGTTACTGAATATGAAGGTCATGCTCTTACGCTGCTCAAGGAATGTGACCTAAATTCTTTCCATGGGTAAGAATTTTTTAAACCTTCTTCTTCTTACTGTAAGGATGCTGTTAATTTGAGCAAAAGGCTGATGAGCACTGGTCTTTTTTTATAATTTGTGAAATGTGTGCATTTGTTTCTTTGCTTATACTCTGTCCAAATTGTGTACTCTGTGTAACTCACATAAAATTATACTACCATAGAACAACATTTTAGTTATAAGGCAATAAAATCATAATTTAAAAGAACCCGCAAGAGAGTCATCTCATCCTTAAGGCTTGAAGAAAAAGCCAATTTTTATAGCTTTCCTGATACTTGAAAGTATGGGGTATCAGATAAGTTGTTCCAGAGAGTCAGGGCAGGGGAGGGCTCCCACAGAGTTGGTCTGCTTTGGCCTATCATCCTCCTGACATTCCTACGGGAGAAGCCTCACAGAATGCCTTCCTGGGCTAATCGCACAGGACAGAAACATTTTATTCAGAATGGACTTTTCATAGACAATGTGGATCCAACCTCTATAGGGCTTCATAAAAAAAAAAGAGCCATCAGAATTCTGGAACTGGGTTGTAAGTACCTTTTGGGAGGTCTGTCGTAACTTGGAATTGCTAAGAGACTGATCATAAGTCAAGGACTACCTATATTGGTAGTCTTGAGAAGCTGCCCCAAATAATGCAGTCTTATCCTCCTCTAACTAGACTGCAATTGATGTATCAGTTGAAGCCTGGCAAAGTATCTATCCTGTAGTCAGGTAAGAGCTATGAATTTGGGAGACCCTTAAGCTGTTGCTCTGCATCTTGAGGAAGAAAGCAATCCCACCCAGGACCAGCATCAGAGCTACTAAGGAGTTGGTCATCGTAGCCATCCTTCTCCAATAGAATGATGCCTACCTTAAACAGAGCCACTAGATGTATTCTGCCAGCATGATAAACTTGGAGAAGCACAGATGCTTTGCTGCCTTTATCACTATAGTACAGGCCTTAACTTGGCTTTTAAGGTCAGAAGTTCTCCCAAAGTAGTTTATAGTCATAAAAAATAATGCTAAAATTCATGAAATAATAAAAAGTGGGCTCACATAAATGTCCCCATATAGTCACCATTATAAGTCATAATTGGTTAGAAACCAATTTTTGATACAGAAGTTCTACTATGCAAAAAGAATTACATCAAATATTATCCTGAGAAGAATTACAAAGTCTTTTGAACAACGTATTAGAGCAGCAATCCCTAACCTTTGCGGCTTGGCAGCCTGGCTGGGGGAAGGAAGGGGAACTGGGCTACATGAGCGGCAGGCCAGTGCGCATGCACGTGAGTGCCCGCTTATGCAAGTTGAGCTGTGTGCGCATGCTCCAGCCAGCCACTCATGCAGCCCAATTCCAAATAGGCCACAGCCTGGCAGTGGGTCATGGCCTGGGGAGGTTGGAGACCCTGTATTGGAGCTCATGTTCACAAAAAATGCAATAAGTATTTGCAGAACTGAAAGGCTAACAGAATCTGACACTTTCTCATTTACATTATCATCTGCTTAGATCTGCAAAAGTTTTTGGTAGTACGCCATACAGTTTTCATGCCCTTTTGACAAATTATTAACATTTTAATAATTGGGAAATTGTACAAGAAATAAAAGGGGTCAGAAAGGTATCTTACTGAATAACTCTTCTTATTTGATATATTGTCTATATTCTATCTCTGATAGAATTCGTGCCTTTTTACAAATATGTAATAATGATGAATTTTTGAAAAATTAATTACTGTTACAAACGAGGTGGCTTTTTAATTATAATGAGAATGGTATTTTATATAATTCATTATTAGGATACAATGCAGATTGATGGTAGGGAAAAATGGAAAAAAAGGATTGCAAAGGAGGAAACTGGGTGATTTTTAAAAAAAAATGCATATTGGGTGACCATTCTTATCAGCCTTCACTAATTAAGAAAAAGTCAAAGTGGAAGTTATTTTGTCTGTAGAGATAAAAATTAAACTTGGCTAATAAGCTATCTGGAAAAGATAATACATTTCTAATAATATCTGATGCATGACTCTAAATTGTCTCACATATGTTATTTCATTATTTTGTAGGGTGGTTTGTGTTGGTGGAGATGGCACTGTCAGTGAGATTGCTCATGGTCTTTTGGTTAGAGCCCAGATGGATGCTGGAAAGAACTGTGATAATGCACTTGTACCAGTCAAATCACAACTTCCACTTGGGATAATACCAGCAGGTGAGAGTACATAGTTGCTAATATGAAGAAGATTGCATGAATAAGAATCTCTACTAGATCTGATAATAGGTATTATGATTTTTTAAAAGATGCATATTGTTTTGCTGTTATTGGCTGTTATTGGCTGTTATAACCCTTTGCTTCAGATGAACTCATGATACATGACTTATCTTGTTAATTCAATAATCTTTAGCTATGGAAATTATTTATTTTGTCATTTTCACACATTTAAGTATGGTTCCTATAAAATCAGTCCTTGCCCTTAACTTAAAAGAGCCATTTATGGAAGTACTCTATAGCCAATGTATAGCCTATTTCATTTTATGAAGAATGCTGAAAATACAGCAAACTGGTTAATTGTTGTGAGATCCATGTGCATAGATATGGCAACTTTGAGTGATAAGGTCCTACTATGGCCTAATCTATCACTAGTGGTCAGTTTATTCATATCACTCATCAACTATAATAACAATTTAGAGCCAATGTTTATGTGCTACTTCATCAATTCAAAAGTAAAATTTTAACGCAAAGAGAAGACTGCCCCTTTTCCCTACATGTCACCAGATCTTTTCTGGAAGACCAAAGCTCTCTGGAGCAGATTATGATACACAAGGGAAAAAGAAATCAGTGTTCCACATCTTTCTCCCATGAGCTGTTCAGAGCATCCAGTAGTGGGAGGTGCTTCAGTCTCTGCCTGTCTAGGCTGGGCTTAATTTGTGGAACGCTCCTCCTCTTCCATGGGACTCCTCCCCAGCATTCCCCAGTTTTTGGCTCAGCCTCGTGAGAGATAGGCAGTGCTTGTGATTCTTCCTTGGCCGAAACAGACAAAATTTTTTTTCCTTGCTAGCAGGTTTGAAAGTTAATCAGCTTGTCTTTAGAATCCTTTAGCCTTCTAATTGCATTGCGATCTCTCGACGTTGGCTCCTTATCAGGCAGTCGGAGATCGTTTGCATTACAGGGAAGCGCCAATTTGCGCCCCAAAGCGACGGGAGGCTTCAGCGCTGCTCTGCGCCCACAACTGCTCTTTCTACCCCTGCCATTCTGACAGATAGCCGCAGAGTTTCTTTTACCCAAAGAGCGGCGTGAGCTGTTTGCTCACTACGGAGTCGTATCACTTTCCTTCCCCCTCTGAACGCCACTTGGGGTGGAGGATTCAAACGCTTAGTGCCTTCCACCCTTCCCCGCCATTTAGCCTTATAGGAAGAGCCATCAGAGGCTTTTCCTTCAAACGGCAGGAGTTTGCTGCTGGGGAGCGTGCCAAAAGATTAACGGGAGGCCATCTTTTCTTACAAAGACCTCGTGGCCGCGCTGACTGTATTCTGTTTTGTGCTGTGTGAGGTAACTCTGTCCCGAGCAGAGGTTCCCTTCAGGAACACTGGGGATCATTATACCCTCGTCTTGGTTTTTTTCTACATTCGAGGCTATTCCTACAGTTAATTTATTGGCTTAACCCTCACAGCCCAATCAACCCAGTGGCACAACAGCGAGCACCTAGGTCTGTGTCCGCCTGTGCAGGAAAGCTGTTGAAGGCGTCTACCCTTATCAATCTGGGCCTTTAGGCTTTCTCAATTTGGCTCTTTGGTTTCTCAGCACTTAGCATCGTGCCATTTAATTAATATTCATATACATATTTATATATATGTGTGTATGTGTGTGTGTGTGTGTGTATCTTTGGTTATTCGGGTTTTCTCCCGTGTAAGATTGGAAGTATCTAGGCAACGTTTCGATGAAGTCTCATTCATCATCTTCAGGCTTCTGCCTTTGGCTCTGTGCTTCTCAGAGTGATGTGAGCTTGCAGCTGCTTCTTCCTTTTAACTGCTAGTGGGGGTGTGACTTGATTGGGTGGGGGCTTGGCTGTGTTCTGATTGGGTGGGGGTGTGTTCTCATTGGTAGGGGGTTTGGCTGTGCACAGCCAAACTGGTCTGTCCTCAGATCAGGCCCCTGGGCGTGCCAACCACCTTCACAGTATTGCATTGTATAACAAGCATACTGCAATTCCAACTTTAATCAAAATGGCAGACGGTAGCAGCTCTCAGACCTCATCCTTGAAGGTCAAAGTCAAATCTCAGCACAAACCTAAGCAGGCTAAAGGGAATTCTAAAACTTCAGAAAGGGATGCCATCAGGCACCATAAAGCTTTACAAAGACAGAGAGATAAGTGCACACGGGAGGCACACAAGGTCTCATAGGACTTTCCCTCCTCCAGTCCAGGTCCGTCTACCTCTTCCCACCCTCCTCCTCCCCTAGATCTCTCCCTCTCATCCAGGTGCAGCTTGGCTCCCCAAAGCCAACAGAACTACAATGGATGTGAGGTGAGCATTGCGAATATATATTAACCGCACAGTGGCTTTCAGAAAAATGGAAGCCTTATTTGTGTTCTTTCAGCCCAACACTCAGGGATGCAAGGTCTCACCTTCTACAATAGGCCATTGGCTACAGGCCACGATAGCGAAAATGTATCAGTCTCAATCACTGCAGGTGCCCAGGGGCATAACAGCTCATTCAACAACGAGTGCCGCAATATCAGCAGCGTGGGCCACACAGGCACCAATAACTGAAATCTGTCGAGCCGCAACCTGGACCTCTCCATCACCATTCATTAGGCATTATAAAATAGATGTATTTGCATCCGCTGAGGCCTCCTTTGGCAGAAGAGTTCTGCAATGGGTCCACAGGGACCAGGAGGGGATTCCAGGCCAGACGGAGTTCCTCCCGCAGGACAGGCCAAGCTTTGGTATGTCCCACTACTGGATGCTCTGAACAGCTCATGGGAGAAAGGGTGTTGGTACTTACCTGACACGCCTGTTCTCTTTGAGCTGTGAAGAGCATCCAGCCCCACCCCTTTTCCATCTGGTGGGGTCCTGTTTCGGCCAACGAATTGTTAGGGCATTGAGGACGAGGGCGTTTATTTCTCTTGTCTTCGCCAAAACTGGGGAACGCTGGGGAGGAGTCCCGTGGAGGAGGAGGAGCATTCCACAAATTAAGTCCAGCCTAGACATGCAGAGATTGAAGCACCTCCCATGCTGGATGCTCTTCACAGCTCAAAGAGAACGGGTGTGTCAGGTAAGTACCAATGCCCTTTCTCTGTTTTGTGCATTTCCAGTTGACAAATAAAGATATTTTCTGAGTAGGTAGTAGTTGGTAGGTGAAGAACATGAAATTATGCAAATTATAAGAAAGAAAGTAATTAATCAAACAACCTGATTGTAGCTGGTAGAAAACTGGTCTAGATAGAACGAGATGGTACTTTTCCAGCATTTTACTCCCTGTCCTTTAATGTTTTTTAGTTACTGGTACTTTAAATAGGAGTGAGTGAGAAATTTTATGTCAGTATAGATCTGTGGCAGAAATAAAAGCTCTCTCACACTTTCGTCGGGCTAGAAGGAGGTAAAATTTTAAAATTTTGTTGCACATTGTACATGTCTTAATTTTTAAAAGTTGGTTTTAGATTTAGTGAAGGTAGCTGTATAGACCAAGGACTGTCAAGTAGGAATTTTTTTCCTACTGAAAATTGTTCAGAATAGAGCAGAGCAGAGCAAAATAGAATGGATACATATGCATGGCAAAAAAAAAAAAGAATCCTACAAGTTTATAAGACGGATGGCATAAGGAACAAAGCTATTACAGAATCTAGTAGTCCTGCTGTAGATACTTTAAAACCTCCTCCCAGAGGGGAGCAACAGAAACAGATCATGAAGTGGGTGTGTGGGGTCTCTAACAATGCTTCGAGCTATAAGCACATAGCGCTTAAGCAATATCCTGAATAACGGGAAGCGAGCTTTCTATAATCGTCTCAGCTGTCCTTACCATTCTCAGTATGGCCCTTTTATCTGAGTTTGAATATTTGTTTCATGTATTTTTGCAAAACTTAAATGCACTAAATCTGAGTTTAACTTTAAAAATAGAATTTTGAGGAAGGTGGTTTATGTGACTCATTTCCTAAATTTTAATAGGGAGTGTACACTATTGTTTCCCATATGTATATCCTCACATACATCATACTTACTTGGACAAATGTGTTTCTGTATGAGTTTGAAATCTATATCAAATAAATTTATAGTATAAATTTATAGTATACCATTTATACTATAGACAAAATAAAAGAGATCAGATGAAGAATGGCTGTAATTATTATATTAGAATAGTGCTTATTTCTCTACTTGATTCCTTAGCTTTTATTCACATAAAATATGAATACGAATGATAGCTAAGGAACTCAATAGACTTATTTGAATAAGGAGTGGAAAAAAAAGAAAGACAAGGGGAAAGGAATGCAATCACTATAAAGCAAAAGAAATTTATATATTGACTATATAATCTTACAGCCTTAAATCAGTCATTTGCAATGTATTTCTGCTTCCAATTAATTTGTGGAGAGTAAAATATTGTTATGAGACTTAGCTGCCATTATGGCTTGGGCAAAGCATCACAGTGTTGGTACAGTTTTCATGAGACTCTTAGATATGCATGACTAGGAAGCCATTACATCACATTTATCTATTTGGATGAGGGACACATTAACAGACTTATGAATATTCATGATGTCTGGTTAATTAAGTTAATTGTTCAGCAGGAGTGCTCATACTTCGAAGGACATTTCCCTTCACAATTTCTGTCTGATACCTTATCAGTCATGCTTTGCGTAAACCATAGATACTTTTGTCTTTATTCTTGCTGTTTGGTATTCTTGGGAATGCAAATTGGTTAGCAAGTTAATAATCTTAGTGTGAAGCAGAAAAGATTGTAGATTGCATCACTTCTTGGAATATGTGTTTGGAAAATGGTCTGAGAAAAAAGTACCACATTTTAAATATTTCTATGATAACTATTAATAAGTAGTTCTTAATACTGTTACCCAGAGCTATCACTAGGAAAATAGGAAATTTTAATTCTCCAAAGGAATAATAGCATAGCAATAGCATTTAGACTCATATACCACTTCATAGTACTTTACAGCCCTCTCTAAGCAGTTTACAGAGTCAGCATATTGCCCCCAACAATCTGGGTCCTCATTTTACCCTTCTCAGGATGAAAGGCTGAGTCAACCTTGAGCCTGGTGGGATTTGAACTGCCAAATTTCAGGCAGCCGGCAGTCAGCAGAAGTAGCCTGCAGTACTGCATTCTAACTGAAACTAAAGAGCTGAGCCATGGCAGATCTTAACTTTCAGTTACCTGTCAAGCCTTTACTTTCAGGTTCCTGTAAAAACTTACAACTGTAAAGATTTTATTTATTTATAATATATTTATATGTTGTGATTGGAAGGTTCAATCCTGTTAGGAACTTTGAATCTGATG